ATAGTTAAAATACAACTGTAGAAACATTTTCCTCATTTAAATATTAATTCATCTGTATTTTTGTGAGTGGGGAAAAAAATCAGAATGTAAATCTGACTTCAAATAGCCAATTGCTTCAGAACTGTTTTGTGTAGTTTTTCTTACTGCTAATTTGTTGTTGTTAGGTGCTGTCAAATCAAGTATGACTCACAATGACGGCATAAACCACAGACCTGAACTCTGTCCTATCCTGTGCCATCTTTATGATTTCTGACATACTTGAGCCTATTTTTGCAGTCATTGGGTCAATATATCTGGTTGAAAGTCTTCTTCTTTTTAGCTGACCTTCTGCCTATCCATACATGATGTCCCTTCCCAAGGAATAAAAAGCCTCTTTTAGCAACATGCCCAAAGTATATGAAGGTTGGTCATCTTTGCCTCCAAAGAACCCTATTGGCTGTACCTTCTCCAAGACATATCTGTTCTTTGGTCAGTCTATGGGATATTCAGTACTCTTTCACAACATCGCAGCTCAAAGACATCAATTCTTCTTCAGTCAGCTTTATTCATAGTCCAGCTCTCAGATGCATAGCAAGCAATTGAAAGACCATGGCTTGAATCAGGTGCACCTGAGTCTTCAAATTGAGGTCTTTGACTGCAGACTTTTCTAATGCAATCCATCTCCTGACTGCTGATGTCAAGGGTGTTGATCATGGATCCAAGTAAGACGAAGTCATTGAACATTTTAACATTTTCTCCATCTATAGTGATATTGGTCCCGTGGTGAGTATTTTTGTTTTCTTGCCATTGAAATATAATCCATTTGATGGCTGTATGTAGTCGTTGATCTTCTAGAGTAAGTGCTTCAAATTCTCCTTGCTTTCAGCAAGCAAGGTTGTGTCATCTGCATAACTCAGTTTGTTGATGAGTCTTCCTTCTATTCTGATGCCACATTCTTCTTAATAGAGTCCAGATTCTTGAACGATTTGTTTAGCAAACAGATTGAATAGGTATGGAGAGAGGACACAACCCTGACACACTCCTTTCATACTTTTAAACCATGTAGTATTCTCTTACTCTGTTTGCAATACAGCCCCTTGGTCTGGGTATAGGTTTTGCATGAACACAATGAAGTGTTCTGGGATTCCTATTCTTCTCAATGTTAGCCATAATTTGTTATGACCAGACAGTCAAATGCTTTTGTATGGTCAGTAAAGTACAAATAGATCATTTTCTGGTATTCTCTGCTTTCATTCAGGGTCCATCTGACATCAGCAGTGATATCCATGGTGCCAAAGCCTTTTCTAAATCCATATTGAACTTCTGGCAGTTCTGTATGTACTGTTTTAGCAGTTTTTGCAAGATCTTCAGCAATATTTTGCTTGCATCTGATATTAATGATATTGTTCAATGATTTACATATTCTATTAGGTCACCATTCTTGGGAATGGTAACAAATATGGATCTCTTCCAGTCAGTTGGCCAGGTAGCTGTCTTCCAAACTTCCTGATACAGATGCATGAGCACATCCAGGACTGTATCTGTAAATGGAAACATTTAAATTGATATCCTGACCATTTCTGGGACCTTATTTTTTGTCAGTACCTTCAGTGTAGCTATACTTCTTCCTTCATTATCATTGGGTCTTGATTATATGGTACTTCCTGAAATATTTCCTTTTCAAACAATTCTTTTTTGTACAGTAACTTTGTATATTCCCTCCATCTTTTTTTTTTTTAATGTTTCCTGGATCATTCAAGATTTTGCCCCTAACATCTCTCAGTATTGCAATTCAAGGCTTAAATTTTTCAGTCCTTTCAGCTTGAGAAATAAATGCTGAGCAAGTTCTTTGCTTTTTATTCTCCAACTCCAGCTTTCTACACATTCCATTATAATACTTTGCTTTGTCTTCTAGAGGTGTCCTTTGAAATCTTCTGTTCAGCTTTTACTTTAGTACCTCTTTTCTTTGTGTGGTCTTCTTCACTCTCTAGTGCAATTTTCAGTCTTCTGATGTCCATTTTGCTTTTTTCTTGTTTCTGTCTTTGTAAAATCTTTTGTTCTCTATATGAATTATATCCTTGATGTCATCCCACAACTCATATGGTCTTCAATCAATTGTTTTGAATGCTATAAACCTATTTTTAAGTTGATATTTAAATTCAAGTGGGATAGACTCAAGATAAGTCTTGTGGACTTGTTTTAATTTTCCTCAGCCTCGATTTGAACTTGTACATGATTACTAAAGGTCTTTTTCACAGTCAGCAGCTGGTCTGACATTGTCTGCTGATACTCAGTTTATCCAATGATCCCTTCCACATATATATAGTCAATCTAATTCCTATGCAACCCATCAGGTGAGGTCCACATGTAAAGTCACTGTTTGTGATTTTTTTTTTAAATGTTTGCAGGGAGCTCTGGTGGCCTAGTGGCAAAGAAGCTGCACTACAATCCCAAAGGCACATGGTTTGAATCCACCAGATGCTCTGCTGGAGAAGGAGGAGCAATCTTCTCCTATGCCAGTTGGATCCGATTCGACGGTACACAAGAAGAAAATAAAATAATAAATAAATTAAAAAATGTGTTTGCAATGAATAAATCATTAAGTGTACAAAATTTGATCATTCAATTTCCAGCCTTATTTTTGTCACCACATCCGTACTTTTCAACTATCATTTCTTCATTGTTAACAACTTTTGCATTCCAGACACCAATTATCTTGATTAATACATCTTGATTGCATTTTCGGACAATTTTGGATTGCAAAAGTTGGTAAAAATCTTCAGTTTTCTCCTCTTTGGCTTTAAGAATTGGTACATTATATTTGAATAATAGTCATATTAGCAGGTCTTTTTAAAATGCATATTGATTGTATCCTATAACCAAAGCCTGGAATTGATTGTATCCTATAACCAAAGCCTGGAATTTGAAAGTATCTCTTAAATTTTCTTTATTAAAGTTCATATTCGTCTTAATTCTTTTTCTTCTCAGTGTTCTTACTGACCCTAACAGCAATCTCTGTCTTAATTAATATATCTTTATATAAAAAACATCATTGCCATCAAGTTGGAACTCACTCATAGCCAACCCTCCAGCGAGTTTTTGTCATGCTGTTAGTTGCACCGGAGGAGATAGGACATCTTTCTCCCTTGAAGTCACGCTTTGATTCAGACCAGCTAAGAAGGTCAAGGAACTCTTACACCAACAGAGCTCATTTGAATAAGTACTCCTCATTTAAATTTTTTAAACTTTTGGCAGATCTTTTAGGTTTATTTCAAATAAATGAGAAATTTTCAGAGTTCAACAAATAAATTTTAGGTTTTGATGGCAGTTAAGCAGCACAGGAAGAAAAGATAAAAAAATTGGAGTTCTCATCAAAGAAAGACATCTCTGTGTATTTATTCAGGTCTTTATACTCCTCATCCAAGTTACAAAAACTTCTTCATATAGATCTATTTCATTTCCTTTTTTTAAATTTTAAATTTATTATTTCAATAAAAATTTACAGAGGTTTTGGATTTCCACTCATTCATTGTTGCACTTTTCTCCCCTCCCAACCCTCTGCCCTAGTACACCACCCTCTTGGAAAAGTAAAGGAAAAATTCTTTCTTTGTTTTACAAACCCTTCCCCGGCTCCACTCCACCATGTAACTTTTTCTCTAGACTCCTGTCATGACAAAAAATACCTAATCACATATCCATTTTAAACCGTTTTCTCCCTCATCTGTTTCAGTACACTATACATTATTGCACCCATCTTTCTCAGTCTCTCCCCAACCCCAAGGTCAGTCCTGTTTTACAACAGTGGCACCATGCAGTATTTGTCCTTTTGTGACTGAGATACTTCACTCAGCTTCATGTCCTCCAGAGTCACCCATATTGAACAATATTACATGAGTTCCTTGTTTTTCAATGCAGCATAGTATTCCATTGTGTGAATATACCACAGCTTCTCTATCTATTGTTGATGGGCACTTAGGTTGTTTCTTCTAACTCCTTGCTATTGTGAACAAAGCTGCAATAAACATGGATGTGCATATATCTGCTTGGATGTCAGTTATGGTCTCTTTGGGGTATATTCCCAGTAGTAGAATTGCTGGGTCAAATGGTTTCTCTATTTGCAAATTTTTGAGGAAGTGCCATACCACCTTCCACAGTGGTTGCACCATTTTACACTCCCACCAACAGTGAATAAGGGTTCCAGTTTCTCCACAACCTCACCAGCATTTGTTGCTTGCTGTTCTGTTAAATTTTGCTATTCTGACTGGGGTGAGATGATATCTCACAGTTGTTTCAAAATCTATTTAATTTCTTACCATAATTATTTAAATGTTTACTGCTTTAAAAGACTTATAAATGGAATTTTCTCTCAATATATACAGTAAGGAGCACTGGTGATATAATTCATTGTGTGTTGTACTGCTAACTGAAAGGCCAGTGATCTCTTTCATTTTGCAAGGCTATGTTAGATTTTCTATGTGTGTCTAGCGCAGAAGCCCTGGTGCCACCATGGGTTAAGCATTGTGCTAACTAAAAGTTCCGTGGTTCAAATCCATCAGCCACACCATATGTGATGCAGGAGGATGAGGCAATCTGTTCCACTAAAAATTTTACCACAGTAGAAACCCGGGAGTGCAGTTCTACTGTGCCCTACGTTGTTGCTTTTGTGTACCATCGAATCAGAGCCAACCCATACATAGCTGACCCTCCAGCAGATTTTCAGAGGCAGTTAGTCACATGGGAGGACGTTGCTCATAGGATTCCTAAAAGTTGGAATAGACTTGACAGCAATGAGCTTATTTGGGGCTCTGTCTTTCTCAAAAAGCCAGTGTTGGTATTCGGTTGCTACCCCAAAGGTTAGTGGTTCCAATCAGCGAGCCTCATTGAGGAAGAGTGATTGATGGTTGGCAGCCCTGTGAATTATTGCCATTGTAAAGCATTAGAGACATTAGAATGACTAGACAGATAAATCTATATCTATATAGATAGAGACAAAATAAACTCAGGAGCAAAATAGCGTGGGTATGCACAATGGTGAGTCGGTAAGTAGAGAGTTTGGGGCTAACACACAAGCTATTTAGTCTGGTAAAGGATGTGGCAGTGTGAGCTAGTAAAGATTGCAGCTTTGGAGAACCTAAGCTCTGCTCTACACATAGCAACACTGTGAGTTGCAATGGGATTGATTGGAGTGGGGAACTTTTACTTACGTCTATATCTATGGAACTACACAATTAAAAACATTGTTTTTGTTGTTTTTTTCCCTCAGGCTGCATTTATCAAGATGGCCCTGATTCCGAAGCACTTTGGACTAAAAGACAAAGAAGAATCTTATGTGCGTAAAGAGCTTGAGAAAGTTCGTAAGGAGACCAGAACAGAATTTCTTCGATTCAAGCAGAGATTGGCCTCCCAGCCCACTCTAGAGAAAGGCCTGTTCCGAAATTCCCAACAGTTCTGCAGGCCAAGACCTAGGGAGAGGAAGCGCATCTCCCACGTTAGTTTCCTACAGCCATTTGAGTTCCCTTCTACTCAGGTCCCTATGACTCCGGTTGCAGCCCTTCCCCAGGAGGCGCTCCAGGGCTCGCCTTCCCAGAGGGGCCTCAGGGAGTCAGTCAGCGCCCAGAGAAGAAGGCCTTTCTGCCCCCAGGACTTTTACATGCGGAGCTCAGCTTTCCTCCGCTACCAGCTCCAGAAGATCCCGCCCGCCATCGCCCCGGGGGCGGGCACGTCAAAGCAGATCGTCCTGCTGCCTGTGCGGGTCCCACCTCCCAAGGTTAGGAGGGTGTCAGGGAGCGCGCAGCACAGCGCCTCCAGTGTGGCCTTCGACCTGACCAGGGAGCACGACGCTGTCCCCGAGGTCAGCAGGTCCAGAGAGCACAGCAAAGCCGAGGCCTGGGCCCTGCTGAGGAAATTAAAGATTCTCACCCACACGTCGCGCAAGGGCAGGGCCAGCCTGGTGCAGGAGGTGACCCAAGCAGATGTTCACAAAACCGACATGAAGAGGGTGGAGAGTGTCTCCAAGAGACAGCTGGGACAGCTACGAGCACGCGCCATCCCCACTACCATAGAGGAGGTCATCGCTTCGCTGCATTCGGAGGCTGAGCGCGCCGCGGACCAGACCATCATAGAGCTCATACAGAGTGTCCTGGGCCCCGACTTCGACATTAAAGTGGAAGTAGGTGAACTAGAGTGAAAGGGATATATTTCATTAGCCAAACTGCCAAAAAATTAAAAAATAAAAATAAAAAAACACCCCAAACCCCACACAAATTCATTATAGAAAATACACACACGAATACAGTACATAGCAGCAACATACATTAATTACCAAACAATACACCAAACCCACCGCCATCAATACTGGAGGACTGAAACTACTAACCTTTGATTAGCAGCCTGATACTTTATTCACACCACGAGGTTGTACACAATTTTATCCTCATTCCACCTCTCTCTCTCTCCATCCTGGTGGTGCAATGAGTTAAACGAGGCAGTCTGCTTCCATCAGGATTTGATTTTATTGTACAATATGGGACAGTTCTGCTCTATCCTATAAACTGAGAGCTGGTAGCCTAGTAGTAAGAAGTTGCAGTGCAATGGCAAAAGCATAGGGTTCAAATCTACCTGCTGCCCCTGGAAGAAGGCTGGGCAATCTGCTCCTGTGTGATTTACTATCTCTGAAAACCTAATAGAGGGTCAGCTACGGGTTGGTTCCAATTATTCTACAGCATACAACAACATTATAAAAGTAGGTTTAAAGAAATAGTAGCAGTAGATCTGCGTGATACATTTATCTGCAGCCTTCTCCAAAAACTTTGTAATTATTTAGTATTAGGTGCTATTTAGGTATTTTATATGAAAACCTGAAGATGGTTAACTGTTATGGTTTAGCATTATTCCTGATCAGTGAGAGTGGAAAGGAATTTATATCCTAGAATCCAATAAATATTACCATTGAGAAGTTGAATATACATAGGTTTTAGAACATTCTCACTAAAAATTGTTCTTTTGCAAACTTTCCACTCCACCTTACTTTTTGTATGCCAAGCACAATTTGACAATATTTAGGTGCATTTTTCTCTCCAAACCCAACTCCCTCAGGTTGACACTAGTAAATGCCCATATTGCCTAGGAGTTCTGATAGATTTAGTGAAGTTAAGGGTTTGCCCCAGTCTCCCACAAGTAATGAATGACAGAGCTGGTTTTATATCCCATGCCCATGTCCTAGATATTGGACTTGAAGTATGCTCAAATCTGTCCATTTGTTAATGGTCATATGTCCCTGGTGGAAAGTCAGGCAAGGTAGGATTATAGCTTAAGATATTTTGCATGATTTTTACTCTAGCAGTGACATGCAAAGCAAAAAGATTGACAAGGGAAACTGAGCTTCATGTAAAAATGAAGAGAGAGAGAAAGGATAGAAAAGAGGAGGAGAGTAAAGAAGAAAAAAATAAAGTTAAAAAAAAAAGGGAGTCTTGTAACAGTGAGTTTTGTAACACTAATAACTGTTAAGAGAGGAGATTATATTACTGTTCTTGCTTGGCTACAGCACCAAACTTCTTATTAATACATTGTCATGTTTTATTTTTTAAAATAGTTTCAGTCCCAGCATACAGTCTCATCCATGACTTTAAGTATGCCATAATCAAGCGCATCAGGGGAAAAAACAAACCAACCATGTATAAACAAGGTCTCTAGATATTTGACTTCATGTTGTGGGCAGAGTTGGACAAAAATTCTGATTTAAATCCATACCTTTCATGGTTGCTGAGCAAGGTCAATATGACTGGTTGTTGTCAAGTTGCCCTATGTACAACAGCCCTAAACCCTGATCTGTCCTGTGAAAATCCTATTGTCTCTGACATACCTATCCCCATTACCCTAGTCAATCCATCTTATCAAAGGCTTTCCTCTCTTGCTCTGTCCTGTCACCCTCCCAAGTGTAACATCCCTCTCCAAGGACTGGTCCCTCCTTGCAACAAAGTAGGTCAGATGAAACTTCGGAATTCTTGCCTCCAAGGAGCAGCTTGGTTTCACCCTTTCTAGAGCAAACCTGTTTGCTCTCTTAGCAGTCTGTGGCATACTCAATTCTCTTCTCCAGCACCACAGCTCAAAGGCATCAATTCTCCTTCTATCATCCCTAGTCATTGTCCAGCTCTCTGATGTATAGCAAGTAATTGTAAAGACCATGGTCTGGATCAGGCACACATTAGTCTTCAGACTGACATCGTTGCTTTACAGTACTCTAGAGAGGTCCCTGATAGCAAACTTTCGCAACAAAATTTTGTCTTTTGATTTTTTGGCTTATGGTACCAAGAGTGTTGTTGATTATGGAGCCAAGCAAACTAAAGCTCTGAACAATCTCAATCTCATCATCATCCATCCTGATGCTGCCAATTGGTCCAATGGTGAGAATCTTTGTTTTCTTGACATTGAGCCTCAATCCATATTGAAGGCTGAAGTCTTTGATCTTCTGTAGCAAGAGCTTCAGGTCCTCCTCAGTTTCAGCAAGCAAGGCTGGTTAGATCCTTTAAGAAGTGAGTATATGCAATTTGGGTTTTTTATTGACCCATGAGTTTGAGTTTTAAAATAAATATAGAGGATGCTCTGGTGGCATAGACCATAGCTAGTCACTCTGTTAAAGGCAGCTCCATGGGAGAAAGATGGATGACCAATCTCTTTCCCTGTGGTTTACAGACTGCAAAAAAACCAATGGAAGGTCAACAATGAGTTAGGTTCAACTTAATCACAATGGGAGGGAAGAGAAAAAACAATCAGGAATGTTCATTAGAAAGCCTTCATAGAAGAAGAAAGGCAGAGATGCTCTGTGAGAAAGACTTCTCTGACATAGTCACGGCAGTTGGCATAAAGTAGCAGTATTAGAAATCCAGGAAATTTAGGAAGTTGGGGGAAATGATATGGTGGTGCAGTGTCCCAGAGAGAGAAAGGACTTGAAAGTCTCATGTAGGATTACATATATAAGAAGGATAATATTGGAAAAAAACACAGATACCAGAAAAGTGAATTCTGTTCCTTCCCTCACTAGTTCTGGAAGACTGAGCTTTGCATTATTTTGAGTATAAGTCGTTTTAGAAGTTTTATTAGTTTAAGATAGAAACAATGGGGAATTTGTTGGTCCGGAAGTTGAGATGTAGATGAGAGAACAGTAGGAATGCAAGTGTAAAAGTGGTGTCTAACCTGTGATTTTTAATGTTTTTTAAAAGAATAGGATAAGGCTATTTGTTTTAAATATTTGGAATTTATATAACAATGTTCTTTCCAAGAAAAGCAAACAATATGGTTCTTTAGAAATCTTAACTTGGAGCAATTCAGCAAACCTTAGAGGGACAGCTAATGGTTGAGCCAGTCCTGGCAGCTGTCTTATAACTCTTTTGTGCTTGGGCAATGTCATGCCAGACCCAACATGTGGAGTTTCACAGACAATTGCATGGGCCAAGACGTGTACAGAATACCCGAAAATTAAACAAAATTGTCAAATGTAGATCAGACTTCTAAACCAAGGCCTCTCAACCTTGGCATTGTTGACATTTTGGGTTGAATATATCTTCATTATGAGTGACTGCGCTGTCTGTTATAGAGTGTTTAATAGCATCCTCTCCTCTCCCTACTTCTAGATATCTACAGAACCTTTCCCTTTCCCCTCTGTCCAGACAATGAAAACTTTCTCCAGATATTGCCAAGTGAGCCCCTAAGGGACCAAATTATGCCCCTCCACCCCACCCCCATTGATAACCACTGGCTGTAAACAGCATGCGTGCACATACCTTGGCAATAGAAGTAAAAAGGCTGTAAAGATTTATGCTTGGTTTTTTTTTATGAGCTCAGTATTATTGCTAAAAAAACAAAAAGAAAAAAGCAATCTAATTACATAAGAATGCCTTACAGATATTTTTGGAAGTTTCAGAGACAGCCTTTTAGATGCTTATTAATGATTAAATCGTTATCTTCTGTCATTTGAAGTTGGTTTTGATAATATAGCTCAAAAGGAAAATGACTTGACATGACCTGAGTTAAGAGGGAATTTGTGTTTCCAAAGCTTAGTAGAGGCAATAATGTATAGTTTGACATAGTAATGATGTGAAAACTCTTACTCTTACATCATAAACTTATTTCTGATCCAGGCCATAGTCTTTGCAATTACTTACAATGCATCTGAGAACTGGACACTGACTAAGGATGCCAGAAGAAGAATCAATGCCTTTGAATTGTGGTGCTAGAGAAGAGTCTTGAACATATCATGGACTGCCAAGAAAACAAATAGGTCTGTCTTAGAGAGGGTGAAACCAAGTTTCTCCTTGGAAGCAAGGATTTAGAAGCTCTACCTCACATACTTTGGTTCTGTAGCCAGGAGGAACAGATATCCAGAAGGATATCATGCTTAGAAGGGTGGAGGTACAGTGCAGAAGAGGAAGACCCTGGATAAAATGGATTGAAACAGTAACTGGGGTAATGAAGGTAGGTGTGTCAGGGTCAGTGAGACTGACTCAAATAGGGCAGGCTTCAGAGCTGTTATACATAGGGTTGCAATGAGTCACGGGCGTGTTGATGGCACATAACAACAACATTCCTACTTCAGGAAAACTGAAAGTTGAAAGAAAATAGCTTTAGCTTAAATATCCAAATAACTACCTGAAACAGCAAGAAAAAGCAACCATTTTTCTCACTTTTCTAACTCTTCACCTTACCATCATCTGTATATTTCACTTATACTGATACAAGTGGGGGGGGGAAGATTATTTTTAAGACTTTCATGACTTTCTAGTTTAATTCATAGTATTTAGTTATAAATAGTTAACTACTTCATTTTACTTGGTTGAGCTGTGGTGTTGGAGAAGAGTACTGAATACCAAATGGACTGTCAAACAAACAGATATGTCTTGAAGAAAGTGCAGCCAGAGTTCTCCTTGGAGGCAAAGATGTTAAAGCTGCATCTCACATACTTCAGGCATGTTGCTCAGATGGGTTATTCCTTGGAGATGGACATCATGCTTGGAAAAATGGAAGGTCAGCAAAAGCAAGGGAAGATCCTCAACTAGATGGACTGACACAGGTACAATGGGTCCAAGTGTATCAGAAATTGTGAAGATGGCACAGGGTAGGACAGGGTTCAGATCTGTTGTTTATAGAATCACTATGGCTTATATTCAACTCAAT